GGGTATCTGTCGGGAATCGTCCGTCTTCGAGGATCGAGTTTAGTCCTGCCAGTAGCCTGGGCAGTAAGATGTCGCTGAAAGTGCGGAGGTAGGAGAGCGGTAGCCCGTCTGGGCCGGGTGCTCTGTGGGGTTTCATGCTTTTCAGGGCTCCCTTGAGTTCCTCGAGCGTTAGGGGTTGCTCCAGGTCCTCCGATTGTTCCTGGGAGAGCGTTTTGGTTATGTGTTGGGCTAGGTAGTCTGAGACCCTCCGTTGGTGTGTCTGTTGGGCTGTCCCGTGCGTGGTCAGTGTCTGGTTGTATAGGTCTTTGTAATAGGCCTGAAATGCGTCTAGTATGCCTTCTGGGTGTCTAGTGCTACATTGGTCCCGCGTGTTTATCTTGTGGATATGTTGCGCCCTCCGTCGTGCCTGGAGCATTTTTGCCAGTAGGCGACCGCTTTTGTTGGAGTGTTCATAGAAGTACCTGGTCGATTTGGCCAGGGTGTGTAACAGTCCCTGAGAGAGGTGGTCCCTAAGTTCTCTCCGAGCTTCGGTCAGTTGAAGGTAAGTGTTGTCGTCTAGTGTTTGTTTGTGTGTGGCTTCCAAGGTGGATACCTTGGATGTGAGGGTATTGATGCGCTTGAGTCTGTCTTTTTTGCGCTGAGTGCAGACGGCAATGTAGTGGCCTCTCAATACACATTTATGTGCTTCCCAGATCGTCAGGGGGGGTGTGTCTGGGTCGTCATTTGTGTCAAAATATTGTGTGATCGTCTGAAGTGCGGATGCGCGGGAAACCGGGTCGTTCAGCAGAGTTTCATTGAGCTTCCACTGTCTGTCCCTCGGTTTATAGAGGGGTGAGCTTGTGCGAACTTTAACCGGAGCATGGTCGGAGTGGGTCGTGAGGCCAATATGTGCGTCATGTAGTAGGGGAAGGTATTCTTGGGGCATAAATATGTAGTCAATGCGGCTGTAGCGGTGGTGGATGTGGGAAAAGTGTGTATAGTCCCTGTCGTCTGGGTGTGCGGTCATGGGCGTCCGCAGGAATTTTTCCAGGGGGGGGCATAATTGTAATGACATCCATGCTTGGTACCTTTTTGACAGTGTCATGAAAGGGAAGGGGCATAGCCATTATCACATAAAGCCAGGGTGAATAGCGTTTTCACAACTATGGTGTCAGGAATATATGTTTGTATTCCTGACACTATAGTGTTCCTTTAAGCAAATTAAATGACATTTCTGGTCACCATAACAACTTCACCTAAATGAAAATGCTATGATGCCAGGAAGCCCTTGGGTGTTGGCTTTCCTTTAAGGGGTTAAATCGCTCTCAAATGGTTTAACCCCAAAGGCTTCCTCCAGCTCCAGGTCGCTCAGTGGTATTTGGCTTCTGAAACAGAGTGTCAGGAAGTGCAGATTGACGTCAGGCATGGGTGCCGCTGATTAGCTAGAGTGGTCAGTTGACGCTCTAAGCCAATCGCTAGTTCCCGGTTCATACAATATTTTTACTTTTTTTATGAATGGGGAGCTACTGATTGGCTTAGAGTGCCAGCTGACCGCTCTAGCCAATCAGCAACACACCTACCCAACGGCATTCTGTGCTTCCTGACACTCAGTAAATAAAAGTGAACACATTAACACCGTTTTTTTTTTTACCTTTGGAGATGAGAAGGTCCAACGTTTCCCTGCCAGGCCCTGGTACCAAAGCCTTATGATGTGGTGTCCAGAATAAAGTGGAGGGTTCACTTCATTTGTCCTTCCTGCTCCAATCTCCTTTTCCTCTCCTTCATTTGACAGTCTTTTTTTTTTCTTCTGACACTGTTTTCTATCCTTGGCCCCTTCTGCTCTTTTACCTTTCTGCTACTTTCTGCTTATTTTGCGCCCTTCTGCTCCTTTCTCATTCTGGTCCCTTTCTGCTCCTTGCAGACCCTTTCTGCTCCCTTTTCTACTTTACCTTTGTGCTCCTTGCTGTCCCTTTCTGCTCTTTCTCCTACTTTACCTTTGTGCTCCTTCTGATTCTTTCTGCTCCTTTACCTTTGTGCTCCTTGCTGTCCCTTTGTGTTCCTTCCTGCTCTTTGCAGGCCCTTCCTGCTCATTCTCCTATTTTATGTTTGTGCTCCTTCTGCCCCTTCCAGCTCATTTCTGACCCTTTCTGCTCCTTCTACTTTACCTTTGTGCTGCTTTACCTTCCAGCTCCTTGCTGACCCTTCCTGTTCATTTCTATATATCTATAGGCTGCTGCCCCCCCAAATCTATAGGCTGCTGCCCCCCAAAAAAATCTATGGGCTGCTGCCCCCAAAATCTATGGGCTGCTGCCCCCCAAATCTATGGGCTGCTGCCCCCAAAATCTATGGGCTGCTGCCCCCAAATCTAAAGGCTGCTGCCCCAAATCTATAGGCTGCTGCCCCTCCCCAAATCTATGGGCTGCTGCCCCCAAATCTATGGGCTTCAGCCCCCAAATCTAAAGGCTGCTGCCCAAAGTCTATGGGCTGCTGCCCCCTATGGATCTAGGTTGCTGCCCCCCAAATCTATGGGCTGCCCCCAAATCTATTGCCTCAAATCTACTGCTGCTGCCCCAAAAAAATCTATAGGCTGCTGCCCCCCCAAAATCTATAGGCTATTTCAAACCCTCCCCCATCCCTCACTTACCTGATCTGTAGGCTGTCTCTGGCTGCATGTGTTGTTCCCCTGCGGTTTCAATCAGCAGAGAGAAGCAGGGATAAGATGCAGCTTCCTATCCGTCTCTCTCCATACACAGCGCCACCTACTGGTTCACTAGTTCATTTTAAATCTCACGAAAAATAGCAGAACAAGCTGAAAAATCCAGGGGGGGGCAAGTGCCCTCCCTTGCCCCCCCCGCGGACGCCCATGTGTGCGGTCCTCCAACAGTCTACAAGGCCCAGTCCGTTCAGTGCCTTGGTGGCAGACCGTAAGCAGTGTGGTGATATTTTGCTAGTTCCGTGGGATGTATCCAGGTGTGGGTCTAGTGGCATATTGAAGTCCCCTGCTACCATCAGGAGGCCCTCTCTAAATTTGTTCAGTTTGGTTAGGGTGCGGGAGAGAAAGGTGTGTTGGCCGCGGTTGGGGCAGTATATGCTAGCGAATGTGTATGTGTGGTCGGCTATCGTGCCCTTGACAAAGAGATATCTCCCTCCAGGGTCCGTATGGGACGCAATATGTTTGAAGGGTACAGTGTGTCCAAAGAGTATCGCTACACCTGCTCTCTTGGCAACCGGATGGTTGGCGTAGTAAGCCAAACTGAAACGTTTATTTTCTAGTTTAGGTGCGTCTGGGCCCCGAAAGTGCATCTCCTGCAGGAACGCTACGGACACTCTCTCCGTCCAGAGACGGCGGAGTAGGTGAGAGCGCTTCTCCGGCTGGTTAAGGCCCCTAGTGTTGTTGGACCAATATGTGAGTAAGGCTGGGCTGAACCCCATCTTGGCCTTCGTGGTTTGGTCGGTCGAAGGGAGGGGGTCTATGGGGGGGGAGGTAGTTTCAGGGGGATGGGGGGGGGTCAATGCAACGTTTGAACCTTAACCGGTTGGTGGCGTTCAGGAGACTGAAGTGTCAGGAAGTCTTGTCGAACTCCGGTCCTATGTACAGGGGAGGTCAGTTGCGCGAGGCGCGTGGAGGGCCACCTACAGAGTCTGTTCCTCAAATATGTAGGTTGTCAGCACCTGTGTCCCAGGGGCTCCCAACCCGCCGTGTTAAGTGGCTCTCGTGACATCGGCGGGTCCTGGGGCACTTGGGGGAGGGTGGGGGGCGGGCCCGAGCCAATCAAGTGCGCATGAGCGCATTTTTGCGTATCAGGTCAGGTCGGTCTGTGGTGGGGGGTGGTAGGCGTGGGTCCTTAAGGCATAACTCAGTTATGTGTTGGTGAGATACGTCTACAATCTGAGGAAAGAGTCATACAGCATAAATTAACATTGCAACCTTAGCCAGGGGTAAAACCGTGGCCCAACATGTGTATCTTAAACTTATACAAGAACAATATAACTTGAACACAGTATCCTTGCGGGCAGTCTCAGTTATTGTAGCTTATGCGTGAGCTACCCAACTAGAAAACGGCAGTAACACTTGCCCGCATTTTCTAAAACTTGCGGCCCATACCTCCCTCCCAAACAGTCCATTTCTCCATGACCCGCCCCGAGTGATCGGTCACCCCCTTCTCGTGGGCTCTCTGTGTGTCTAGTGTCCCCCGACATCCCACCCAGGGCACCCTCCCAAGTCCCAAGGAGCCTTTACAGAGTGATATGAGTCCCTGTTTCATTGAGCAGCGTCCCGACTCCCCAGGTCACATCACACCCAGGGCTAAGATCGTTGAGGGCCAGGCGTAGGTAGGCAAGCGCTACTGTGTGCTAGTGGCAGTTGTTTGGTGCCCCCCTAGAGGCTCGGGTCTGCCTAGGGGGTGGCCCCAGTTACCTGATATGGGAGGTCGGTTGTAGAGCCTCGGGTGGCTATTCCTCTGGGCCGTCGGGGCTCCCCCTGCGCCGCGGTGGTGGTGCAGCGCGTCCTCCCAACAGGTTCTCCGCAACTGGGTAGGGCCCGGTCGGGCGAGCAGGCGGGTTTTCAAGGATCCAGTTCTGTACGTGGATATGTGGCAAACCTGCTGATTGAAGGAATCTGGGGACATCATTGGGCCAGCGTAGTGTGTGCCAGTGGTTGTCAATCTTGGCTTGCAGGCTAAACGGAAAGCCCCACTTGTAGGGAATCCGTTTTTCTTGTAGCATGGTCGTTAGGGGTTTCAATGCCCGTCTGGCGTCGAGCGTGAGGGACGACAGGTCCTGGAACAGCATTACCTGGGAGTCCATGTAAGCAATTGAGCGTTGGGCTCTGGCCGCTCTCATAATGGCGTCTTTCTGCTGGAACGATGTGAGGCAACAAATCATGTCTCTGGGTTGCCCATCACTCCTGGGACCACGTAGTGCTCTGTGTGCTCGTTCCATGGGTATTTCGGGGGGGCATCCTCACCAAGAAGTTGCACGAAGAGGCCGGTCAGTAGTTCCCTTGGGGACTCGTCGTCGGACTAGGGGAGGCCCCGCACTCGTATGTTGTTACGGCGGCCTCTATTGTCCAGGTCCTCCACCTGTCTGCGCAGCTCAAGGAGAATGTTCCCCTGCCGTGTGGTTGCCAAATCTGCAGCCTGCTGATGGTGTGTGGCGTGGAGGCGGTGTTCCTCCAAATCATCCACCCTCTGTTCCAGTGCCGTGAGATCTCTGCGTACCGCGGCAATTTCTTCCCGGATGACAGTACGCAATTCTGATACCAGCGCAGTTTTGTCCCCACGGGTGAGCATGTTGGCAGATATTGTAGCCAGGTCGGCTGACATTTGTGTCAGTGCATCAGTGCCAGGCATATCAGTAACAGAGCCTGTCACACTGCTGGAGCTCGGTGAGGAAGGCGCCATCTTGTCCGCGCCACGTGCGCCTCTGAGGTGCTGCGGGGTGGACAGGAATTCGTCCATGGGACCGGGTTGTCGACTCACGGTGGGTGAGGAAGGGTGCCTCGGGGTCCCTGCACGTTTAGGTTTCCCCATGAGGACCGCGCCGTCTGCTTAGGGTCTGGGCTTAAGCGGGTCGGGGCCTGGGAGCGAGTGCGGCGTGCGACTTACTCCATCGGCGGTCGAGCCACGCCCCCCTATGTTAAATTTTGTACATGTTGTGTATTAATATTGTTTTTGTATTTGATTGTACCCTATTGTATCAATGCAATATTTTGTGGGTCCAGGACTTACTTGAAAACGAGAGAAATCTCAATGTATCCTTCCTGGTAAAATATTTTATGAATAAATAAATTTCCCAAAGCCTTGCTGTAGTGTTAATCAGGGCCGGACTGGGGATACAAAACAGCCCTGGAAAAAAATGTATATATATATATATGGGTATGGGAAGCAGGCACTCAGCACCAGATCAACAGAAGCTGGAGTCTACCACACCAGGCAAGACCCAAGGTGCAGACTGTGCAAAGAGGCCTCTGAAACAGTCCAGCACCTAGTAGCCAGATGCAAGATGTTAGCAGGAACAGCATACACGGAAAGACACAAACAAGTTGCTGGGATTGTGAACCAAAACATCTGCACACAATATGGATTGGACCTTTAACATATTCATCCTCAGATTGCGACATACATAACGATTGCCTTGCCAACAAGTGCGGTAGTGTCATTCAGCAACCATGCATTAATATGTCTTACACCTGCAGCATGTTAATGGACGCCACGCAAAGGACGCGCACGCACGTTCTGTGGTCAGAGGCCGGTTATGGGCAATCGGATCCACAAGAGGGATATTTAAGCTCATCTATTTCTTCAGCTCATTGCCCGGTCGTGGTTTCACTTAGTGGTTGTCCGAGAGTGCGTTCCTGATAGTTTGTTTCTGGTTATTGATTTTGGCTTCGCTTGACTTCCCTGTATTCTGGTATCCTTGACTTTTGGCTTTCCCTCATAGTTTTGTCCCTTTCTGTGTTCCTGACCTCGGCAAGTATTCTGACTATTCTCTGGTATGTTAAGTCCAGCCATTCTAAGGTCCGGTAAGACGTTACTGTTACGAACGCTGGTATAGTAGATACCCTCTTCGCCTATTCCTCCCAAAGAGACTGGAGTGATTATAGCTGCAGTTTGGGTGTAGATACAAATAGTTTCAGATAAATGCAGCCTCCAAGTAGTTTCTCCCCAGCAAATAGATAGTTACCCAAACATGAGCCTAGACTTCATGAAGGGTACAACAGGATTGAATTTTAATGGTGCCACACTGACTTTTATGCAAGTCCCCATGCAAGGGGCACTCCCAGATGGACCTTGTGGAGGACAGGGACACAATGGTTACAGCCAATAGTATTACCGTGACAAAGATGAACACTCCTAATGCAAACACACAATCCCCTCCTCTCTTCCTGTGAGATAATTGAGTCAGCTAACTTGGAAACTCAATTATCTCCAGTAAAAACATATTTTCCCAAAAACCTGTAACACAAAGTATCCCCATCCCCTGATAGCCCTGATTCGGGTGACCAACATATCCAAAAATCACCCAGATCAGTTCAGGGGTTTTCAAATTTTATGGAAGTCCCATTTGACCAACCGCATTCCAAAGTTCCATGAATTTAGGCTGTGCGGTCGGTCTATTTCGAGAAGTCATAAAAATGAATAAATGCATGAACGGAGCCCCCTGGCTCATATGAGGGATTGTTCCCCTGGTTTGTGGGAACCAAACTACCGAACAGCGCTCTCCTGGCTGTTTGGGAAAAGGAAGAAGGCGTTTGTACGGTTTGACCAGTGTTCGGGAAGTCGAGTGTCCGATTTTAGTTCCAGACACTCGATGACCAAGTCCCACTGCCTCCTTTCGTGCAAAAAAGATGGCTGCTGTTTTCTCTCGCACGTGGCGTTCGGCTATACGAACGGCGGCCACACAGGGAGAGCGCTTAATCAACATTTTTATTTGAAGATAATGAGCCAGGGGGTGGTCGTGTTCAGTAGTTACAGGTATCGCTATAGCTACAGCTATTGGTTACAACCAATAAAACATAAAAAGTCTCTAATAACATGCTATTTTCTTCACAGTTACCTATTAGTCCTAGGTGTGACACAGTTCTACGTGCTCGTTCAACTAGTAATCCTGACATTACAACATGGCTAGAGGAGAATGATCACTGTATGGACCAATTTGCCCAGGCTTTCAGTACGCTACTTACTCATACAGTGCATCTTCAGCCTGAGGTTTCTCGATCATGTCACCTCCGCCTAGCATACCTCCAACCATAGTACACAAGGCACCTACTATCTCCCTATCTCCTCCCCCGCATTTTGATGGTAAGATTCAAGAATGCCAGAGATTCTTGAATCAAATTGAATACCACTTTGAGGCCTCACCGGGATCTTTACCCTGGGATAGAGCTAAGATTGGTTACCTAATGAACCAACTTAAAGGTAGAGCCTTAGCTTAAGCCAATCTGTTATGGGAGAGTAATAGGAGTATTGCACACAATTACCAGGAGTTCCTTGCGGAATTCAAATTAACATTTGAACCATTAGGCAGGGAGGACGACGCCTCCACTGCCCTAATGCATATCAAACAAGGGAACCGGTCTATCTCGGAGTATGCCATAGAATTTCGCACCTTGGCTTCTGAGGTAGACTGGACTAATAGTGGGTTAATCTCTGCATTTAAAAAAGGATTATCTGAGGCAATTCTAGATGAGATTGCTGCCAAATAACTATTCCAAAAATTAAATGAGTTTATCACATTTGTTATGCTAATTGATAATAGACTCAGAACCATAAATAAAACCACATGTATGGCTATGCCTTTAGAACCTCAATTCTCCAGACCTATTGTTCCAGACCTCCCTGTACAGTCTGAACCCAAACCTATGCAGTTAGGGGTCACTAGACTGTCTGAGGTAGAAAAACAATATAGGAGAAGAGAGGGTCTATGCCTATACTGTGGTAAAAAAGGACATATGTGGAGTACTTGTCCCATACGTCCGGAAAACATCCGCACCTAAGAACCTTAAGAGGACAGGTCTTAGGTGTGATGGATACGTCCTCTGGAAATAACCAAAGTAGGTTTCTCCTTGATGTTATGGCAATGTGTAACAAAAATAACTTTTCATGCAAAGCCCTGATGGATTCAGGTGCAGCTGGAAATTTCATTGACATACATTTTGTTAGAAAATACTTAAAGGATCACTATAGGGTCAGGAACACAAACATGTACTTCTGACCCTATAGTGTTAAAACCACCATCTAACCCCCCTGGGCTCCTCATGCCTCCATAAATGTAGCAAAACCTTACTGTATTCAAGCCTGAAGCTGTAACTCTGCATGCTGTTTGCCTCAGAAAAACAAGCAGTGTGCTGACATCATCAGAAGTGGTAGCCTGATCCAATCAAAATGCTTCCCCGTAGGATTGGCTGAGACTGACAAGGAGGCAGATCGGAGGCAGATCAGGAGCAGAGCCAGCATGATTCAAACACAACCCTGGTCAATCGGCATGTCCTCAGAGATTAATTGAATCAATGAATCTCTATGAGGAAAGTTCAGTGTCTGCATGCAGAGGGTGGAGACACTGAATGTTTGGATGCATTTTAGGCAGCCATGACCCAGGAAGGATCTCTAACAGCCATCTGAGGAGTGGCCAGTGAAGTTATCACTAGGCTGTAATGTAAACACTGCATTTTCTCTGAAAAGACAGTGTTTACAGCAAAAAGCCTGAAGGTAATGATTCTACTCACCAGAACAAATTCAATAAGCTGTAGTTGTTCTGGTGACTATGGTGTCCCTTTAATACCTAGCAAGGAGATATCATCACCTCTGGCCATGGAGACTTTTGATGGGAGACCTCTATCCCAAGCCTTAATTACCCACAAAACCTTGCCCATTAAAATTTCCATTGGTGCCCAACACAAAGAAGACATAACGCTCCAAATAATTGCTTCCCCTTCTTGACCCATCATATTGGGATTTCCTTAGCTTGTTAAGCACAATCCTTATATTGATTGGGCAAAGGAAGAAGTATTGGAATGGGGCAAGGACTGTATTGGGAGATGTATGTTGCACATAACCAAAAAAGTGGGCATTGTCACCTTACCCACTAATACACCTCAAGCCCCCGAAGTTCCTATACAATACTGGGAGGTTAAGGAAATGTAGTAAGAATCAGACCAATGTTCTACCCCCTCAAAGGCCATATGACTGTTCCAAAAAAATCTGCTACCCGGCGCTACGTCACCTAAAGGTATGCCTTATCACCTCAGGAGAGTAGAATAATGGAAGACTATATCAAGGACTCCCTAAATAAGGGCCACATACATAAATCATGCTCATCTGCTGGTGCAGGCTTCTTTTTTGTAGAAAAAAAGGTGGAGAGCTATGTCCATGCATCGACTACTACTAGAGCATTAAACAAGATTACCATTCAGAATGCCTCTCCCATTCCCCTCATTTCTGAATTGTTTAACAGACTCCAGGGCGCTAAGATCTTTACTAAACTTGACCTCAGGAGTGCATACAATTTGTTAAGGATTAAGGAAAATCATGAGTGGAAGACGGCATTTAATACTAGATGTGGGCACTTTGAGTACCTTGTTATGACCTTCGGGCTATGCAATGCCCCGGCCATATTCCAGGACTTTATTAATGATGAACTTTGAGACAATATCTACTCATTTGTCCTGGTTTACCTGGATGATATCCTTATTTATTCCCCTGACCTTTAGACCCACCACAAAAATGTCAAACAGGTCTTGCAGCCTTTACTGGAAAATAAACTTTATTGCAATCTGGAAAAATGCTTGTTTGATCAGACTGAAGTACAGTTTTTGGGGTATAACATTTCTGCCTCTGGTTTTCAGATGGACCCTAAGAAACTAGAGTCTGTTATACATTGGCCATTGCCTAGCGGACTAAAAGCCATCCAAAGGTTTATTGGGTTTGCGAACTATTACAGGAGATTGTACTAAGTCTAA